ATTTACGTAGTAGTTAATAAGAACTAGAGTTTGAATTTAACACATGGATCAATTTTTGTAACAACCATATAAGACCAAAAGTTGAAAGCCAAAATATCGATTTATTAGCAACCAGAGTTCGTATAAATTAAGCGAAGGTTTAAACTAATATCCATAGAGATGTAATTCAAATAATGAAAACACATATGGAGTAATTCACAAATTTAAACACATCCGGATAGAGATGCTAGAATTTTTTAGATGATGGATAGAGATTCTAGATGGGTATTTTTGTTACAAATAAATAGAGAGAGTAAAGATAATTAATTTTTTTAGTTGCATGCATTAAATTTATTGATGGAACTTTTAATACCTATGCTGGAGCACAAATGATAGGCCCCGTTTGGCAGAGCTCCCAGAGTTGATTCTCTGCTGAATCCAGCAGGAGTTCTACCAAACAATTTTTTTAGAGAGAAGTGATTCTCTGCTGATTCTGTGAAGTGATTCTCTGAAATGAACTTGGAGGCTGAGAGTTGAAAAAAAGTAGCTTCTCCTGATTCTGTGAAGTAATTCTCCATCATAATTTTAAGAGTTTATGCTAAAAAATCAAAGAGAATCACTTTCAGCCATAGAATCACTTTAGAGAATCAGCTTCTATAGAGAATCAGAATCAGATGGAGCTCTACCAAATAGGCTCATAATCTAGGTGCATTGCTTTCTCGAAGAGCAACTTCAGCATGGTCACTACTTGAGCTATCGAAACCAAATTAAGTGCCAAAGTAAAAAAAAAAAAAGAGCTTCAGCAAAAGCCCTACTACAGCCTTCAAATTTTAGGGCCCCCCTCGAATCCCCTCTTGCCCCCTCGTTCCTAGGGGCCCTGGTGCAAGTCCTCAAATGATGGTTGAGATAGTTTTCCCTCCCACGCACTCGTGGAACTGCGCCCGCTCATCCACCTCCAACGTCGCCTCCTTCTCCTTCCCCGACAAGACCCTCCCTCGGCGTGGCTCCCTCGATGAGTCCTGCCCAAGCTCTCTTCCCTAGTGAGAGGGAGCACCTTAAGCTCTCTTCCCCTGCGGCGGTGTCTTGATCTCCCTCAACCGGCTCCCCTCTGTGACAACCTCTCTCACCGGCGAGAACCTTCCCGGGGGCGGGGTGCACGCAGTCGGAGGAAAACCGTCAGATAGTAGAGGACAAATGACAGGAGAAAACGGACGCACGCGGTCCAGTTCACTTGCCACGCTGCATCGGGCTCTCCTTGGGCCTTGGGCCGCCACCAAGGAAAAGAGAAGAGAAACGCGTCTGCCCCTCCAATCCCAGCGCAAAAACCCCAGCGGCACCGCCAATGGAGGACCCGCCACCGCCGCCGCAGAGGCTGCCTCCCTCGTCGCGCGCCTCGCCGACCAGCAGGATACCGACCAGCACTACGCTGAGCTCTGGATGGGCACGCACCCGTCGGGCCCCTCCACGCTCCTCGAAGACGACGGCGAGGGCGAGCTCCTGCTCCTCAGCGACTGGCTCGCGCGGAAACCCGACGCGCTCGGCCCGCCGTCGCCGCGCGCTGGGGAGGCGACCGCCCATTCCTCTTCAAGGTACGTACTACGTACGCTGGTTTGTTTTGGCTTGCTTGTTTCATGTTTCAGCCTTACGCGTGGAAGGAACGACGCTAGCTGGTTATTAACTCGATCGGCCGGCGACGGACGCTGGTTACATACGTTATTGCCGCAGGTGCTGTCGGTGGCCAAGGCGCTGTCGATCCAGGCGCACCCGGACAAGAAACTCGCCGAGGCGCTGCACGCGCTGCGGTCGTCCGTCTACAAGGATGACAACCACAAGTACGTGCGTGCGTGTCCATTCTTCTTTATCGTCTCCTGACTGATTATTATATTATAGTTATATATCTTAGGAGGAAATTAACTGCTTATTCTATTATTATTATTCAATGTTCTAGCCTGGAAATAAAGGACAAATAAATCCTTACATATAAATTAACATACCCCCTTCTTTATTATGCAATGATGAAGGATCTCAGGGATGTCCTGAGGACTGTACCTGAAGTTGAAGGGCTAATTGGGCATGAGCATGCTGCCAAGCTGATGAGCTTCAACGAGTATGATGATGATGGGGGTAATGAACAAGTCAAATCAAGTTTGCAATCAGCTTTTGCTAAGCTAATGGCAGCAAGTAAAGACATGGTTTCTGAAGCACTTTCCAAACTGATCAGTCGCCTGAATATTGAGAGCAAGGTGATTTTTTTTTTCTCTGGACCCATCCATATATAATTGCATGCTGTGAGCTTCTACAGTTTAATTTGTAGGTGTGAACTTTAGGGGCTAGCTTGCACCTCAGCTTACAGTCAACGACACTCAACACCATTAAGTGCCAAACATGGGTAGTATATAGGCTAAATGCAAAAATAAATGAGATAATGTTAAGGTTGAACATATAGGCTAAACATGGGTAGTATATAGGCTAAATGCAAAATAAATTGAGTATTTAATAATAGATTGTAACATTAATATATTTCCTTGAAAATAAAAAAGGACACATGCTTAGCATATAACTGACAAGGTTGATCACAAAGCCTCGATTAAATGTTGGATATGTATTGCTTTTGGGACATGAACCATTGGAAACTGCAATAATGTACTACGACTGCAATTAGTTCTAGATCAGTCAAAGCTTGAAATTTTGCCATGCTAAACTAAAAGGCACCCAGGTTGCCAATTTTATCTACATCTTGTCATTATCCCTTTGTTAATTTGGATTAACATGATTTTTTTACACCTGCTTGTTTCTCTGTTACAGTTACAGCCAGACAAATTTGCACCAATGTTCCCTATTTTTTTCATATATGACACATATACTTTTGAAGTTCCTATGACCACCCAATTTATCCTTTTTTTGCACACCGAGTATATATAGTTGCCACCCAATATTTTGGAAGCAGGTGTTAAATCTAACAAACATGCACTATAAATTGAATGTATAGGCGGTAAACGACTGCTGTATTCCATAATTATAGGCTGGTATCTGTGACAATTCAATTATTTAAATTTGCCCAGTGCAATTTGTAATGGTTGAAAAGGTCCTTGATGAATGGTGATAACTGATAAGCAACTAGACAAACAGGCTCGTTTTTCCCAAAATAAATATGTTTTGGCATCAGTACGTGTTCACTCATATGCATGTTCCACGTCTTGCTTTTTAAAAGTTTTTTATGAGCAACAATGGCGAAGCCTGCTTTGATTCCTTCTTGGCTCATGACGATTAATTTCTTTATCTATCCAGATTAGGACCTTAACAGATAAAGAACAGCTGGTTTTGTCACTGGAGAGACAATATCAAGAGGATGTTGGTGTTCTAGCAGCACTCTTCTTTAACTACGTCAAACTTAGTCCTGGTGAAGCACTTTATATTGGTGCAAATGAACCGCATGCGTATCTCTCTGGGGAATGCATCGAATGTATGGCCACTTCAGACAATGTTGTCCGTGCTGGTTTGACTCCTAAATACAAAGATATACAAACTCTCTGCTCAATGCTAACATACAAACAGGTGAGTGTCGATATTAATTACTATCGTGTCTTGTCTATATTATTCCTTCCTTTATATTTTACTTGTTCCACCTCTATGTTCGTATTTGCAAGTATATCCTCTGTGTTTACAGTGTTGCCAGTGATCTAGCTTCTCTGATCTATGATGTCGAACTTCACAAGTTAGTATACCTAAGTTCACTAGGTCCATTCTATCTTCGGTGTTAAAAATATATGTTTTTTTTAGAATCCTAGTTTTTTCCGGCCTATGCACATTCATGGAAAAATTGTAATCAGTAAGTATTTTCTTTTGAATCAAGTTAATGAATGTGGACCGCATCGTCTGTCAAGTGATCAGGAAATAAAAACTAACTGATAATCGGCTCTTCCAAGCTACTGGCATGTTTTTGTAATTTGCTTCTTTAATTTTATATTTTGTGGGTGTATGCAGGCATTCCCGGAAATCTTGCAAGGCGTTCCTGTGCAGCCACACGTAAGGCGCTACACCCCTCCATTCGATGAGTTCGAGGTCGATTGCTGCCTAGTACCTGCAGACGGCTGATGGTTTTTACGGCTGATAAGCGGGCTAATACTGTTTTGTTGTGAGAGAAAAATATTGCACCATGACTGATAAGCTGGGCTGATAAGTTCGAGCGAACAGGACATCCTCGGTGCCAGGCCCATCTGTCTTTCTCGTTATAATCGGGGAAGGTGAGCTCCAGGCAGATTCTCTGTCTGATGGGAAGAAAAAGGCAAAGGAAGGCGACCTGCAAACACTGAGTTAAGCCCTCTACCCGTGGCCCTGAGTCCATGCAGCTGTACAGGGCTGGAGTAAACAGCAGATTCTTCAGTTAACTGGTTGGTGCATCTAATCTTTGGTCACCAGGCAGGGTGTCGCAGCAAGTGGACTGCACTGTAATTGTAGGGCCTGTTAGGCAGGCAGGCAGGTTTAAATTGGTCCTTGGGCCCTTGCGTGTGTTCTCACCGCCGGCCTTTGACCGTGTGCGTGTGGTAGATTAGATTCATGGGCATGTCATCCTACTGGCTGTGAGAGTTCTTCTATAATAATATGCTCCATCATAATCAGTCTATTATTGCCGCATAATCCTTCGCTTTCAGGGAGGAGTTCCCAGCTATGAAATGTACTTTGCATTGGATAGTAGGAGGTCTTGTCACCCCTCTTGCATGAGGTAACCAAAATCTTGCGTGTGTATAGGCAACCAAACAAACAGTACTATATCTTGTACATGCTGCATGTAACCAAACAGAGTTTTATAAAACCAAACAGTACTATATCTTTTCTGTGATATCATATTCGATTTCAGTTTTGGGGAAAAATATGATCGAGAACGGTTTACGATCATATTTCTTCAGCTATCAGTCTATCGCCTTGGGCTAGCTTCGTTTTGAAAGAAACCACACTTGCAAAGCAGTGACGGCAGATCGAGCCGGTGATCACAACTTCGTTCACTGAAAAGCAACCATGCGTCAGCGTTTTCCCAGCTGCTTGAAGTAATGCAAGATTTGTGCCGCCAAGATGTCGACCCAAGTGTCCGGCACGCCAGGCACGCACCAGTGCATGCAGTCCTGCCCATACACAGCCACCGCGTCCTTCTTCCCCAGCCAGGTCGTCGGATGGGCGTCGGCTCTGAACTCGCTCATGTACGTCAGGTTCACCAGCCGGATCCCAGACCCTGCCAGCGCTTCTTGGATCACTGAATTCACCGTCCTCGCGTCCTTGTTCACGCCCCCGAACCGCGGATCAAACCAAGAGTCTAGCTGCACCCACCAAGATGAGTCAAACAAAAAATTCACCATTTTGAAATGCAGGATTGGAACTGAAACAGCAGCTAGCTGATGATGTCCCCGTCAGTCAGGAATCAGAAATTCAGAATGGTAGTAATGGTACCTCGTGCTCTTTGAGGAGTCTGTCGGTTACGCAGCTGCCGTTGTGATCCCACTCGCCGCCATGGAAGTGCCGAGGCGACTGCGTGCGCCATAGCTTCAGCGTCGTGCTCGGGGCCTCCCTGTCGATGTAAGACGCCATGGTTTTGAGGACTAGTTTCAGGCCGTCCGGAATGCTGAGCGGAGGCTCGATCGGCTTTCCATCTTTGTAGAAAACAAGGGGGGTCTCTTTTGGGAATTTGTATGTCCCCCACCTGTGATTATTATGGACAAATGTGTCAAGCATTACAATAGGAACATTACTCATGGACAAACTATGGCCCAACATAAAAAGGAAAAAAAAACCTGCAAGTTTGGGAAGAGCAATCTCACCAGTGCCCGGTGTTGAAAATTAGCACATCATAGAACTTTGTGACGTTTATCCATTCATCAGCAGGAATGTCCACATCCACTCTGTAAATCCCTTTTTTCCCATCCTTCTGAATTTCCTCCGGGTTCTCCACTGGCTGCCACCTTTTGTATCATTAGTTACCACCATGTGAGCTTCATGATTCTATTTTGCAAATTCTTAAATCTTCATATTTGATCACAAAAAGTGAAAAAGATTGCTGTCTAAACAAACCAGATGCAGGAAGAAAGAAAGCAACAGCGTTGAGGAGCAAGCAAGCAGACAAGCACTGACTCACGTGTACTTGGCGAGCAGCACGGCGCGGTGGAAGGCGACGGTGACGTCCGCCCGGGGGAAGTACCCTCCGCGCCAGGCGCCGCGGCGCTTCCACCTGCGCGCGTCGGGGTCGGAGGAGTGGAGCGCGCAGAGCAGCGCGACGGCGAGGTTCTCGGACAGCGAGTCGCCGACGAGGCCGATGCGGCGGCCGCTGGCGGCGGTGAGGAACGCCGCGGGGTCGATCCTCGGGACGACGTTGGTGCCGCCGGCGCAGCGCGCGGGCGCCCAGGAGAGCGGGGCCAGCGGCGGCCGGCCGTTGCGGAGGCAGTTGTAGGAGCCCCGGTGGAACGGGCAGGACGCGGTGTAGAGCGGCGCCGGCACGGGCTCCGGGGTCGGGACCCACCGCCCCGCCGTCGCGTCGGACGGCGCCGCGCCGCAGGGGAGCGGCGGTTCCGGCGGCGGGGACCGCCGGGAGGGCAAGAAGAGGAGGCAGAGGACGGCCGCGATCGTGAAGAGGAGGAGGAGAGGGAGGCGCAGGCGGAGGCGCCGCATTGCGCTCGCGTACGATGACGCTGGCGCCGGCAAAAGGGACGCCGCCCTCTTCCTCCTCATTGCAAAGGGAAGGCTCGATGCTCCGGCTACAGTATGATCTTCTTCTTTTGTTTTTTAAGGGAAATAAAAAAGAAAGAATGTGTTTTGTTCTTATATGGGTACTGGATGTTATGGCAATTAATTAATTAATGCATTCTAGTTGTAGTATAGATTTTCGAGAGAATATTTTATTTTATGTTACTACTACTCATGCTTTATGGCACAAGCTTAGAAATCTCCATTTCTTATATCAAACAAAAAACGGAAAGAAATATCTGGAAACACATTTAAGATTAGGGCCCTCGCCTCTTTTATAATTTATCTTTTTCAATTTATTTGTTTTAGCTAGAACAGTATTTTTCTCTAACGGCAAATTAACAGAAACGTAGTACGCAAATCTACCGGGCTTGCGTGAGCAAATGGCCCAGCTTTCTGCGTCCCTCTGAAGTCCTGAAACCAGCTTTCTCCTCGGCAATGACAGGACATCTACACTGGTAAGAAAGCTGAGGAGGAAATGGGCATGGTGGGTGGCACTGCTGCATGCAAAGAGTCGATCCGGGAGCTTGGCCACCAATGGCGCACGTGCGAGTGCAGACGAGTTTATGGGCACCGGGAAGGAAATCTCAAATCGTCGACGGAGCTAGCTTCACCGCTTGCTGCCGGCGTCTCGATCGTCGGTCCGGGGGCCGGGCCGCTTCAGAGTCAGAGAGAGCAGCCACCGCTGGCGAAGAAGGAAGAAGAAGAACTGACTGGCAGTGGCAGTTTTTCTTTTCATCGAGGGAAAAAGGCACAAGAACTGACACTGACAGTGGGGAAGTGAGGGAGGATTGCCAGCTCAGCTCTCTTCTCTTCTGATGGACCAGGCCGTACGAGTTTATGGGCTGGGCTGTTTTATAGTCGGCGATGGATAATGGATGGAACAGCCCATTATCTCTCTCTCTTTTTATCAGGTGATACATTCGACGACGCTTTCACTACACCTATACATTCGACGACGCTTTGTGACTAAGGCCGCGTTTAGTTCGGCCACCGGATCGGCGCCGCCGGATTCGGGCGCACTGTAGCTATTGTAGCGTTTTGTTTTTATTTGGTAATAATTGTTCAATCGTTGACTAATTAGGCTCAAAACGTTCGTCTCGTAAAGTATAACGAAACTGTGCAATTAGTTTTTGATTTCGTCAATATATAGTACTTCATGCATGTATCGCAAGTTTGATGTGACGGGGAATCTTCTTTTTGCATAGTGCCAAATTCTGAAATTTGGGGCAACTAAACAAGCCCTAAATAAAATTGGCGTTGCTAGCGTTTGGGCGTTCGGAAGCCTACGCCTGCACTACGCTCTCGTACCTGCACCTTGACCGACTTGACGCGGCGCCTACACCCACCTGACTCCACATAGTCTCTACGCCCCCGTCCGCCCCACGCGGCGTCTGCGCTCCACCCTCGCGCCCCCTCAAGCAGCTACCGCAGACGGATCACATTGCAATATGTGTAATACCCGATCTACTTTTAAAATATTTAGATGTAACACTTACAACATATATCTAAAGACAGATAAAATATTTGAAACATGAGTCTGAAACAATTGCAAAAACACCTGAAAACACTCGAAATCCATCGCAAATATATGCAATATCCAGATAAAACACTTGCAATACATGTAAGAGACATATGCAACATCAAACAAACACACTTGCAACATACGTCTGAAAAATAGATAAAACATTAGGAACAGAGGTTTGTAATATACGAGTACTACCATTGCAACATATGCAACATCCCGATCTATTTTTGCAACATCTATACGAAACACCTGCAACATACATCTAAAACACTTAAAACATATGCTTGCAACATGTGTTTTTAGCGCAGCATCTACTTGCTACTTGAACGATTGGAGGCTTGTCGACGCAGAGCTCGACGCTGACGCGGAGCTCGATGCCGCGGAGTGGCACACAGCTCCGGTTGAGAAGGCCACTTCGGTGGAGAACGCCGTGGCGGGTGGATGGCCCCGGGGGAGAGGAAGAATGGCGCGCGGCGGTGGTGGAGAGAGAGGTCGGCGGCCGGTCGGGTGCGGTGGCGCGCTGGAGCACGCGCGGTGGAAAGTGCTGTGGTGGCATTGTCACGCTAGAGCATGCGTGCGTCAGTGCGAACGCGACGGTGGTGCGGTGAATGGAGAGGAACAGACGACGAGCTCGCGAGTAGATAAGGTTAGGGGCGAGTGGATATGCAAGTGGAGATTTAGGCCGTTTGGCTGGTATCGTGGCCCATCAACGGCAGCGTCTGGACAGACGGACGTCCTTAGAGCATCTCCAACAGTATCTAAAAAATAATCCCAAAAACAGGTTTTCTATTCCTTTGCAAAATATATTGAAAGACATAAAAAAGCTACAACTTTAACAATTTCTAAAATTTCACGTCTAAAAGATAGAAGGTAATTTTACATCAGAAATCATAAACTATTTCTAAATCACACTAATCACTTCTATACTTTATTTCTCTCTTGTACATTTACATTAGGAACCTCTTGTCATACTTTTTTTTCTCCCCCACGTCTTTCCACCTTTAGATTGGCGCGACGATATGCGCGCATAACTTTACGCGCATAGGGTGATTTTTTCCAAGTGCAAAAAGATTAGGAGGTGGGCTTGAAAGTTGTTGGAGATGTGTGTGTTTTTAATCTTACCAAAACTCCTAGATTGGGGACTGTTTCGGACACTCTCGGAGATGCTCTTAGCACATCAATCAGAATATTTAGCTTAGACATGCATGCAAGCTTCGTATATATGGGTAGAGCGAGTTGTCTGCAGCAACACTCGTATTTTATTTAGACATTATCATAACAACAATAAAGCAATATTTTGATGGATATAACTTGATTTTCATAAATAATAAAATATTTTTTAATAATGCAATAAGGTTCAATGCCCTGTTCGCTTGGCTGATAAGCCATGGCTGAAAGTACTGGTGACCGATTTATTACGAGAGAAAAATACTGTTCGTTGGCTGAAAAAGTACAGCTTATAAGCAAGCGAACAGGACGCAAGCTTCTATTTTTTTTAAGGAGAATATAAGTACACAGCTGTATCTCCATCTGCCTATAGCCCTACGCTATACGTATATTTGCGGCAGAATACTGAGAGATCAGATACATACGTCCTGCATAATACGTATAGTGCAGGGCACGCGTACCGTACGGTAGGCATTCGATACATATGTATGTGGACCCAAGTAGGGATGCATGCATGACGCGACTTTGGCCCTGCTGGTCTGAACTTTGGCTGAAATTGGCTGAAAAATACTGTTCCGACTAAATTGTTGTGAAAAAAAACACTGTTCCGATTAAAAAAATAAATCGAATAAGACAAATTTAAGACAAGCGAACGAGGCCTTTATTGTCGGCGCGAGGCAGAGGCAAAGCGCAAGTGCATGCATGCTGATCGCCTGTCAGCTCGGACCAGGTCCATACAGCATACATGTTGTGTTGACCGGCCGACGACGACGCATATATCTATCTTTCATTCCTAATTTCATTTGATCTTGATGCATCTCCAATCGATCTCTCACACATATGTTTAGCATGTTCGCTTGTTGGTTTCAGTCAGTCCAAACCAGCTAGCTAACCGTGTTTTTCTCTCAAAAAAACCAGCATCAGCACCAGCCAGCCCAAACCAGCACCAGCACCAACCAGCGAACAGGCTCGTTGTCGACTCTGTTTTTCAGCACTACTTCAACAGTATTTTTCAGCAAATAATTTTTCTCTCACAAAAAAATCAGCAGCAATCAAATTTCAACGAGACGAACAGGGCTGTCATCGTTGCATGTTGTGTTTGAATTAAATTTGATGATGGATACGTTGTGTACAACACCACATTGCATGCTTCTTTCATTTCATTCGCTCATATTCAACCGTGTACCGCCACTATTTTTCATGTAAGTTCAAATCCAACACTTGTTATGTCCCTTATTTCATATTCCATGTATCCCGTAATGCAGCGCACTCTAAAAATCTTAGGATAAATTAATAGAGAATACAAAAGACATATGAGTCATCACTTTATTTTCTAATTAGAAGCTGTCGTCGTCATCTATGTGATTGATGAGATTGTTTGATTAATTGGCCACGGATGCTGCTAGGTACTCCGCAGTTTGGAGGGTTTGGTGTCCGGCAATTTGGCCACGACTGCCGAGTAATGGAAAGCTTTTCCATTTCAAAAAAGGTTCGCCGGCGTTCATCCCAAAATAAATAATTATGATCTTAGAATCACTCTAAATGAAATTATCTTAAGTTTGACTAACATTATATAAATTAATAACACAATCTATCCAACCAAATAAATACATATCTGAACATATAATTTCGTCATGTATATGATGATCCTAATTTGGTCTCACAAATATTGATGATGTACTTCTCTATAAATTTGATGAAGCTCAAAACAGTTTAATTTAGTACTGTACAGTTGGTTAGGTTCCTTTTGGTGGAACCTGTCCATCCGGGTTCAAGCCTTGACTTGACGCGGATGCTCGTATTTTTCTAGATTTATTTCAGGATTTAACGGCGCTATGCTTTTAATGGTAGGCGACGTCCCTGTCGACAGCGAGGCGTTAGTGGTGACTTTGTGAATCTCGAGATCTGCCGGCTCAGTCCTTCGGAGGTGCTCATAGGGGTAGGATTTGCGTACGTGTGTTCATAAGGGTGAGTGTGCGTGCGTGTTGTGGACGCTTGCGTTGTACTATGTAATTCTAAAAAAACTTTTAAAAGTTGATTTTATTTCAGACAGAGAGAGTAATTATGTTCCACGCTAGTCAGAGTCTCAAGTTGTAACACCTCGGGTGTGACGAGCTTGCTTAGCATCTAGGTTAAGGCCTTGGAGAATCTAGCAAAATAAGTTTTCGAGTTTTAAGATTTTAAAACACATGTGAAATGAAAATCCTAACAAAAAGAATAAAATAAGTAG